CCCACTAACTTCTGGAAGTGATTCAAGGTGGTTATCTTATCAAGCCCTAGTTCAGGAATTTGATTGCTAATAGAAACAGCCTCCATACGAAGGCCTAGGTATGTGAGTGAGTAATTTTGCTGGACTTTGTCAGGGGCCACCACCAAACCATAATGAGCAAGTGCAGAGATGGTTTCTTTTACTAATCTTGCTAGTGTCTCATCACTGCTAGTGGCTAATAAAATATCGTCCATATAGTGAAGTATTGTGGCTTTAGGCCATTTGTCCCTGATAGGGTCCAGCACTCTTCCCACATAAGCCTGACATAAGGTGGGACTGCAGCACATTCCTTGGGGCAGGACCTTCCACTGATATCTTAAATCTGGTCCTGCATTATTGGTAGTGGGTATGGTAAAGGCAAATCTCTTTCTATCTTCTGGGGATAGTGGGATAGAGAAAAAACAATCTTGGATGTCTATGACTGTCACAGGCCATCCAGAAGGCACTAAATTAGGAGAGGGGAGGCCAGGCTGTAGGGTTCCCATGGGCTCTAGGGTGGTGTTAACCACCCTGAGATCTATTAACATTCGAAATTTCCCTGATTTCTTTTTTATTACAAACACTGGGCTGTTCCAGGGGCTGGACGTGGGCTCAATGTGCCCCACCTGTAACTGGTGCTGCACTATATCACGTAAAGCCTGGGCTTTCTCTGCAGGGAGGGGCCATTGGGGTACCCAGACTGGGTTATTAGATCTCCATGTTAGAGGAGTGGGTCTGATACAATAAAATTTTTCTTGTTGCCCAACGGCCCCAATTAAAAATCCTGCGGGGGTGGTATATAAACAGATGCCCCACAAGCCTTCAAAATATCCCTTCCCCATAAATTGTATCTCAAACCAGCAACCACCGGGGTCGATTTGGAAAATTCCCTTGCTGTAAAGGGGAAGTCCGAACCACCGGGTAAAAGTCGGAGATTTTCCTGATGCAGCCCCGAGGGCACATTCTGAGGGGGTGGAGCTTCCATCTGGTAAGCTTGTTGAGGGGCCCTCCTTGCCCCGCCTCCCGACTGGTTTGCAGCATTCTTTAGCATAATGGCCGGATTGTAACAAATTACCTTGGGGCGGGCTCCACCAGGTTTCTGGCTGCATTGCTCCTTGAACTGACCGGCTTTTCCATATAGATAGTACAATTTAGTCTCTTTTGTTTTCAGCACTTCTGATAGTCCTCTCCAAGTGGCTGCCTGTAGGCGCGCCACGAAATCCGGGAAGGGTTTATCAGGACCTTTTTTAATCTTGGTCAGGGAGGGCCTTTGTTTCCCCAAAGCCTGAATCTTACTAAAAGCCCGTAGGGCACATTGGGAAACAGCTGCAAAGGCTGTATTTAGTGCCTCTTTTAACTCCTTAAACTTCTTCCATTCTAAAGGGGCCCAGGTCCTCCCTCCGTCGGATAAGTGTGGGGGAGGGGGCTGTCCCTCCGCGTGGCTTTCCTTGCTACGGTTTCCTGTTCTCTCTTGGCTCCTGCTCTCCCGCTCCTGCCCTCCTGCCTGGCCTTGCTTTCTTTTCTCTTGCTTATTTTCTCATTCCCTGTTTCCAGTGTCCTCTGTCTCACTCCCTGAGTCTGTCTCACTCCTTGATTCTTCCTCACTACTGATTTCCGCTTCTTTCACTCTTTTATACACTTCTTTCCCTTGCACCTCCCGATCCGGGACCTTAACAAACAACTGTCCCATCCTCCTTCCTTCGCCCTATCGGCTAAGGGTCTCGCCTCTCTTCCAGTGACCAGACCAGCTGATCCACGGGGCCTCTGGCCTATTTCCTCCGCCCCACGTTGGGCGCCACTTGTACCGGCCACGCCGACCTCGTGTCGGCCGCGCACCGTACCCTTTCCTCCTATAAGGAGCAGGCTACCAGAGTCATACTCACTTCCGAGTCTTCGGTCCTCAGCTGGATAAACACACAGAGACGAGCCATCGGGAGGCGCCAACACCAGAGCTTTATTCAGAGGCCATCACAGCAAGCCATCATAGCAAGCCCAAGCAGCAAGGCCAGAGCAACAGAGCAGGAGCCAAGAGAGAGAGCGGTGATCTGACCACGCTCCCATTCCTAAGTACCTACTTAGCCCCTCCTCCCCAGCCTGCTTACTAGCCAATGATTGTAGGGTCAGATACCAGAAGGGGCTGTCTGAGTTTAGGACACCAAGGGGGAGGGAGTGACGTAGGAAGCTAGGACCGGATACAGGAAGGAGACGTCTGGGATTAGTGAATAGACAGAGTACGTGACCTAGGAAGTCAGACTTAGATACTGGGAGGAGGTATCTGGGGTCAGTGCTACACAAAGGGACCCAGGAAGTCAGGAAGGTCACAAGATGGAGGCGTCTGGGGATGACGTAGCATATAGGGAGGGGACTAAGCAAAGGGAACTCAGTCCTCTGCCGTCCCACTCCCACGTGGCACTGCCCCTTGCCTCAGGAGCACAAGCTCCGCTACTTCCTTGTACCCAGCTTATCTCACATAGCACTGCCCACTGCCTCAGGGCTTCTCCGTATCCAGCCCATCCCAGTTCACCACGACTCTGCCTACCACAGCCCCTGCCTTGACTTCCAAAATACCCAGATCTTACCCTACTCTTGCCACAGCGCCCAACCTGGTAGCTGCCAACATCAGACAGTCCCTCACAAAGTGTTCCCATTTCATTTGACCATTGTCTCCTCTATCATCCCCATTCTCTCTCTAATTGTCAATCAATCCCTGCCTACTGGCTGCTTACCTATTGCCTACAAATATGTCTGTATTTCCCCAATTCTCAAAAAATCCCCGTTATCCCCTCTCTTTTTTTATTGCTAACATCCATGAAGTCATCCACAACCAATGCCTCCGCTTCTCTCACTTTCTTAATTCTCTGCTTCATCATTCAACTCAAACTATTCCCTCTAAAGTTGTCAATGACCTCTTACTTGCTAAATCTCACGGCCTTTTCTCGAAACTCGTTTGTCTCGACCTCTCTGCGGCCTTCGGCATTATGGATTACTCTTCACACCGTTCTCTCCTGGTTCTCCTATCCGTCTGATTGTGCCTTTTCAGTCTCCTTGGCTGGATCTTCATCCAGCGTGTGCTCAGTAATGAGTGTCCCCTAGGGCCCAGTCCTGTGCTCTCTTCTCCCTCTATATTTTGCTCAGTCGTCTCATCAGTTTCCACAGATTCAATTATCTCTGCTGATGATTCTCAGATCTACTTATAACGTCTCAATATCACTCCTGAACTCCCATTGCGTATCTCCAACTGCCTAATGGACTAGATATTCCCATAGACAAATTAAATTCAAAATGTTAAAAACTGAACTCATTATCTCTCCCTCTCCCTTCTCTTTCCTAACTTTCCTCTTATTATTGAGGGTCATCCCATCCTCCCAGTCACCTAGGTTCCCAACCTGATTGTCACCCTCAATTCCTCATTCTCAAAACTGCTCAATTTTACCCCAGGCCAAGGCTGTTGAAATAGCCTTTTGATTACATTTCCTCCTTTAAGTCTCTCCACACTTCAGTTCATCAGCCATCAAATTAATCTTCCTAAATTTAGTGAAGGTCTGGCCATGTCATCTTCCTAGTCAATAAATTCTAGTGGCTCCCTATTATTTTCAAGAGCAAATATAAAACCCTCTGGTTTAAAGCCCTTTATAACCTGGCTCCTTCCTACTTTTCTAGTCTTTTTAGACTCTACTCCTCTCCAAGTAACACTGGCATCCTTACTGTTCTTTGCATAAGACCTCTCCCTACTCCAGGCATTTTGACTGGCTTTTCCTCATGCCAGAAATTCTCTCTCCTCATCTCTGTCTACTGTCTTCTCTGTCTTCTTTTCAAGTCTCAGCTAATGCCCTACCTCTACAGGAAACCTTTGCTAATCTTTGCATTCTCTCTTGGTTATCTCTAATTTATCCCGTATATAAATTTTGTACTTGTTTGTTTGCATGTTGTCTTCCTCAATTGACTTTGGGCCTCTCGAGAGCAAAGATTGTTTCTTGCCTTTTTTTGGTATCCCAGTACTTAGCATAGTCATGGGAACATAGTAGACACTTAGATGTTTGGTATCCTGCCTTAATTCTTAGGTCAACTAATTGCCCTGGTCACACTGCTAGTAAGTGTCCAAGGCAGGATTGAAACTTAAGTCTTCACTCTAGGTTCAGCACTCTATACACTCTTCCACCCATCTTAATATACTTTGGCAGCTGTGTAGAGGATAGACTGGAGAGAAAAGCTATCAGACAGCAAAATTCATCATGATGTTTTTATAATAGAATGGTTGAGAGTGCCTGAGTTAGGGTGGCGAGCTAGAGATGAATTTTCAAGCCACAATGAAATGAAATGAATTCAATAATAATTAATTAAATAATAGCAAATTAATTAAATAATAACATAACTACATGGAAACAAAATCAATTAAACGAGTCGAAAACCACATCATAAAACTTTTAAATTTCAAAAATATATATGAAGACAGTAACAGATTAAAATCTATGGGATACAAAGTTGTCATAAGAAGTAAACATATCAGTAGAGATGAATTAAGCTTACAATTAAAGTTTCGTTTTGTTTATACACAGCCAGTGTCTTCACAGATCAGTGTCCCTATTACTTCCTCTTCCTTACCTCAAGATTCCCTCCAGGTACTTCTTTCCTTCTCAAGGGCTGCTCGGCTATTTATTCAGCCTTGCTTTATTTGTGAGAAAAGTAGTGGACCAGGCACAGGAAGCTCGGCATCACTTGACCCAATCACCACACACCCTCAAGACAGTCCTTTTCTCCACTCCCCCCCACCCCAAACAGATTCTTAGGGTAGGGCGGAGGCTACTTGGCTTCTCCCTGCTTGGCCCCGCCCCGAACTCACCTGCCCCACAGGTAGCAGGAGCCCTTCACCTCATGACCCCGAACGAGGCCGGCTGGTAGGCTAGTAACTGTGTCGTGGAGCTGCTCCACCCTGGCGCGGGTTTGCTGGGTATACCAGAGGGGAGCTAGGGGCGACATGCGCAATGACTGACCCGGGGACAGCCGCGGCGGCCTGTGTCCAGACACGTGAGGGGCCACCCGCTCCCCCACGTCGCCGCCTCTCCTTTCGCCGTCTTTTCGGTAGCTTTCTGCGCGTTTTGGGCGTCCTCTCCCGCTCCGGGGGCTCCCCACCGGGGACCCAACCTGGCGCGGTGCAGAACGATCCTGACCCGGGCAGCGGCGGCAGGGACGGCTTTGGGGACCCCTCCTGGCCGGCCAAAGAGGTCTCCTGGGAGGCTGGGGACGCGCGCCTTTCCCAGCCCCCTCCGAGAGACAAGGCGCGGCCCCCTGGCACGCAAGGCTTGAAGAACCATGGTAACACCTGCTTCATGAACGCCGTTGTACAGTGCCTCAGCAACACCGACTTGCTGGCCGAGTTCTTGGCGCTGGGACACTACCGGGCCCGGCCTGGCCGAGCGGAGGTCACGGAGCAGCTGGCGGGGCTGGTTCGGGCGCTCTGGACTCGGGACTACACCCCACACCTCTCGGTGGAGTTCAAGGTGGGTAGGACTGGGAAGGCGCTGGCCGGGTGCGCTCCTCCCGGGCGGCGCTCACTGGAATGTAGTTACTTGTTTGTTCCCGAGGCTCTACTTTGTCTTTTAAAGTTAATAGATGCTACAATCAGAAAATGATTTGTGATATAGCCTTCTTCACCAACGCCCTGTTTTAGTTCGGAACTGATTTCTCTCTCTTGCAGCATTTTCGTTATAATTGAGTTTCCTTTCATCTTTATCTGTCTAGTTGAGGGAGATTTGGCAGGCCTGAATTTAAAATAAGTAGGGATATGCTTTCAAGTCCGAGGATTAAGTAGCTCAGGCTTTGTAAAGATAGAGAATGAAACTTTATCAAGATGGTATGCAGTGTATTTTCTAAAAATAATTAACATAGCACTTTAAAGTTTACAAAGTGCTTTACAAAGATTCTTAATTGAGCCTCACAAAAATCTTGTATGTACCACAGATAATCCTGTGAAGTAGCTATTGTCATTCCCATTTTTCAGTGGAGGAAACTCAAGTTCAGATAGGTTGTTACTTGCCCAAGTCGTTACAGAAAGGAAGTGTTCCAATCATCTCCTGAATACAAATCCTGCCGTTCAGATTCAGGCTCTGACCCTTCCTGCTTGTCCTTGGGCAAATCACTTAACCTCTCTGAGAAAAATGAGGATGGTAATATCTGTTACTACCCACTTCACAGGCTTGTTGTGAAGAAAGTGCTTTATAAATTTTATGAATTTTGAGAGGAGATGTAAATTATTATTGTTACTACCTTGAGTTTAAAGGAAGTATTAGGAATTAAGAGCTGGAGATAATACCAAGATTTGGTCATTGAAATAAGCTTGGTTTTGTTAAAGTGCCGTGAATTTTGAGTCAGAAGACTGAGATTAACTTAGTGTGACCTTAAGTAAATTACTAATCCTTTGGGCCTCAGTTTCTTCATCTGTAGAATCAGAAAATTTCAACTGTAATTAGAAAGCTATAAAAGTACTCTAGCTCTAAACGGCTGTGATTTTAACCAAGTAAAAGATTTGCTTCTCACTGAAGAACCTCAGTGATAAGTTGCATGGGAGAGAGGACTGAAGATCTAAATAGCTGCTCTTGCTATTTAGATAGACTGGTAAATGAATTTTACAAAAGTATCAAGGACTCTAGTTTCAGTTGGAGAAAACAAATCTTTCTGTGAAAGTCTCAAGGATGTCATCCCCTCCCCTAAGAGAAATCATTTTCTTATAGTGCCAGTCTGTGTCTCATGTTGCTAATGTTTGTTAGTTAGATCAGACACCTGAAGACTATAACCTTGGCACCTTTTAGCAGTGTTTTCTTTAAACTGATTGAATTTTTGACTAGTGTAGAATGAAAGCAAGGGACTATTCAGAAGTTTTTAAGCAAAGTCTTTAATTAGCTAAGGTTTAACAACCTCTCCCTCCCCACTCACGTCAAAACTGGAATTTACGTGTCAGCCTATAATTGGGATGAAATTAAATATAATAGTTGTAGATTTGATAATAAACACCAGGAGAATGACCTCTTGCTTACTATCTTGGTGGGCTGCTATTGCTTGGGGAGAGGATGGGACTGTAGGTGGAGAGGGGAAAAGGTAGAGTTTTTAGAGAGTCTAGACTTTCAAAGAGCAGCTAAGTGGTACAGTGGATAGAGTACCGCCTGGAGTCAGGAAGACTCATTTTTGTGAGTTCAAACGTATGACTCTGGGCAAGTCATTTAACCCCGTTTGCCTCAGTTCCTCATCTGTAAAATGAGCTGGAGAAGGAAATGACAAACCAATCCAGTGTCTTTCCCAAGAAAACCCCAAATGGGATTACAAAAAATCAGGCATGACTGAAATAACTAAGCACCAGGCTTTCGTAAGAAAAAAAGGAATAAAGGATTTGGGAAAAGTGCCTAGAGGAAGGAAGACTATAAAGCTAATTTCCTAATTCTGACTCTTAATCCTTTATCTTTGTCCTCTATAATCCCAATATAGTGTAAAAAGAAACCCATTCTCAATGACCTTTGACTGTCAGAAAGGGTATGATTAGATATAATGACAAAAAAGATGTTTTCACACCAAATTCCAAAGTAGATTTTACTTCAGATAATCAGAAACATGTATTAAGCACCTACTACATATAGGACACTGAGGATACAAAGACAAAAATGAAACATTCCCTGCTCTCAAGGAGCTTAATCCTACTAGGAGAATAATACAGAAAGTAAATAACAAAAGTAATTTCAAGAGGTGTGGCAGTTAGGTGTTGCCATGGGCACCAGGCCTGGAGTCAGGAAAAATCATCTTGAGTTCAAATATGACCTCAGACTAGCTGTGTGACCCTGGACAAGTTGTTACTAATCCTTTGCCTCAGTTTCCTCATCTGTAAAATGAGCTGGAGAAGGAAATGGCAACTCACTCCAGGATCTTTGCCAAAAAAACACCAAATGAGGTTGTGAAGAATCAAGAGAGAGAGAGCATGCTGACTTCCTCTTAGTTTGCTGGTCTTATTTTGTAATACTTTCCTTCTTGCATTTTGTTCCAGGCAAATTGACCTACTAACCATTTCTACTATATAACATTATATCTGTACATGCCTCCATGTATATTTTCAAGCATTTTTCCATGTCCTAAATGTGCCACCACCTTGTACAATCCCTGGCTTCCTTCAGGCATATCTCATATTTTTATGGGCATTCTCTCCTTCTTGAAATTACTTTTTATTTACTTTATGTACTATTCTCCTAGTAGGACGTAAACCCCTTGAGAGTAGGGAATATTTTATTTTTATTTTTGTATTCTCAGTGTGCTTAATAAATGTTTTTGATTAATTATCTGAGTAAAATTGACTTTGAAATTTGGCGTGAAAATTTCTTTTCTGCCAACGCATCTAATCTCATCCTTTCTGACTGTCACTGGTCATTGAGAATCTGTTTATTTTTACACAATATTGGGATTATAAAGGACAAAGACAAAAGGTTGGAGTCAGAATTAGGGAATGAGCTTTTATAGTGTTTCTTCCTTTACAAATCATTCATTAAAGATTCCATTAAATATATGCATATTTAAATTACTTAGTTTCTAAAAACTTAGTGTAACTTTTAAAGAATAAATCTAATTGGTTGTTTCACTGAACAATTCTCTTTCATTTAGTTTTGGATTTAATGTACTTGAGAGGCAACCTTCCTTTCATCTTGACTTTGAGAAGTCATAGGATCATAGATATGGAACTGGAAAGGAACTTAGAGGCCATCTAGTCCCAACCCCTTCATTTTACAGATGAGAAAACTGAGACTTAGGTAGTTTAGATGGTGTGCTCAAGGTCACACACTAGGCAGCAGGGTTGTGAGTTAAACCTCTGACCAGAGCTACAATTAGCCTGAGGCTTCAGTATCCCAGGTGGAGGTATAAGTACATAAGGATTTATTAAAGCACTTTCTAAGTATGTGAGAGACAACAGAAAACAAACAAGTACTTAAAATATTGAGAGTAGATGGAAAGTAATCTCAGAGGGGAAAGCACTAGCAGCTTGGAAAGACTAGTAGAAGGTGAGATTTGAGGTGAGTTCTGAAGGAAAGCTAGAAACCTAAAAGGCAGAGGCAAAGGTAGAGGTAGGGAGGGAGACTTGCCAGGTATGAGGACGACCAGTGCAAAGGAGTGGCAGAAGTTGGAAGATGGAATGTCATTTTGAAGAAACATAGCAGTAGGCCAGTGGAGGTAAGGGAGGGGGGAGCAAAGTGTAAGATGCCTGGAAAGGAAGAAGGGACCAGGTTGTGAAGAGCTTTTAATGCTAGAGGACTTGATATTTGATCCTAGAGATCATAGGGAGCCATTGAAGTTTATTGAATAAGGTCAACATAGGCAGTCTTCTTCTTTAAGAATATAATTTTAGCACACGTTTGAGTGGAGAATGGATTGAAATGGGAGGGAGGTCAATTAGTGTGCTTCCCCTAGCCTAGCCCTTCCCTGTACCAATCTTTTGATCTTATGTTCACTAGATGTTTCCCTGGCTGCCATTCCTTAAGGTCTTGTGGCTGTCACTTTCTTCCATTAGGGCACTATGGGCTTGATGTAGGAAAACTGTTCTCTCTTTTCCCAAGCAGTCACCATGCTATTATACTTACGCTATGTGGCTTGTGTAGGATCAGTGTTTACAGTGGTTTGTGGTACTCACCACTGCTTTCCCTCTTCCCTGCAATCACCTCAAACTATTGTCTCATCCCCGAAGCTAGACTGAATTTCTCTGAGGTGCTGAAATTCCTAGTTATGCCTCTTTAATCGGTCAACAGACATTTAATAAGTGCCCCATTATATGCTACCATATAAGAGGTATATAAAAAATAGATACAGATTTCGTGCAGAAGACATTAGTTGCTGGGGAATAAGGAAAGGTATTATGTAAAAGGTGGTGCTTGAACTGAACTTTGAAGAAAACTAGGACTCAGTTCAGAGACTGAACTGAGGAGGTAGTTAATTTGGAGTGGGATAGGGGAGATGAGATGGAATGCCTAGGTGAGGATCATTAAGAAAGTTAGTTTTCTAGGAGTGAATGAGAGAGAGAGAGAGAGAGGAGAGTAATATTTCTTAAGGTAGGTTGGGACTGGTTTGTTAAGGGCATTAAATGTCTAACAGATCAAAAGTATTTGATCCTCTACATAATAGGAAGTCATTGAGGTTTGAGTAAGGAAATGTTATAGTAAGACCTATGATTTAGAGAAATCAATTTGTTACCTATGGGGAGAAAAGTGAAGCAGGAAAACCAATTAGGAGGCCACTAAAACTGTCTAGGTGAGAGGTGATGAGGCCTGAGCTGGGAGGGGGTGGGGTGGCTGTGTGAATAGAGAGAAAAGGATATTTACAAGAGATGTTTTGAAGAGAGAAACAAGACAACAGAAATTTGAAAACTGAATGGACAATGAGGATTACATTGTTTTGAACCTGAGGTTTGGAGCCTTCCAGTTCCATTTCTATGAATGACTGAGAGGATGGTGGTCTCTTCAGTCAGTCAGTAAGCATT